CAAAATGGCCTGCGGGGCGGAATTCAGTATGATAATGGACTGCAAAGGAAACCTCTATTCCTTTGGGTGCCCTGAATACGGCCAGCTGGGTATGGAAATTTTTTCTTTTTTTTTTCTTAAAGCTCCGTAATCTAACCATATATCTAGAGGCAGAAATCAGTGTGGCGCCGCGCACACGTGTTAGGAGTGTGGGTAATTGATCTCAGATAATAGCCTCTGTCCATTAAGTGGGCCTCACATTTAGCGGCCAGCGAGCGTGTGGTCGCTCACAGGGTAGCAGTGTGCAGCGATTTGCCTCAGTGAAGCAGTCAGGCCTGGAAGTTGGACAGAATCGTTTCTCTGACTTGGAAATTCATTGATGTAAGGATCTTGGAGTTGTAGAAAAAAGAGGAGAAAACCCAGCCACTTCCATTCGGTTTCACAGATATAAGTTTGCCTTTCCCGGAATGAGGAAATGACAGAACGTGGTTGTAAAAAAAAACACCCTTCCCAGGTTTTCCCTCGGGTTCGCCCACGAGGACCTCAGGACCTGGCAGGGGCCTTCGGGAGCCCTCCTGGTTTCATGTACAGTGAGCACGGTGAACTCAAGCGGAACCATGCTTACGTAGCGTCCCCAAGAGGAAAAAAAAAACTCAGCCAGGGGGACATGTCCTGCCGGCCTCATTTTTGTAAGGTCTCCATTTTCTTGTCCCGTCTGACGGGGAGGTGGCTTTTCCTGGCACCTTCCCTGCTCTGGCGTCTTCCCCGCGTCTCCGGCACGCGGGCGCCCCCTGCTGGCTCCCGGGCTGCCTGCCTGCGCCCCAGGATCTGGGTTGCTGGGTCCCTGCGTCATTAGAAGTGGGCAGATGGCAAAGTATAAATAGAAGGCGGAGCAGAGCTGCCCTTAGACTTCAGGGAACAGTGACTTTGTGAAACTAAATATACCTCCAGTCAGAAGTGAGAAAGAACAGCCCCTTAACGCCCATCCGGGAGTCGGTTGCCGAGGAGTTGTTGGGGCTATTGAAGAGACGGTTGCCATGGCCACGGCCTCGCACTGTGCGCAGCCTGCCCACACCGGAAGTGCGTTTCTGTGCTTCCTGCTACGTGCAGCTCCCTGCCGCCTCTTGCTGGCAGAGAAGCCAAACCATTATTTTATTGAAGCGAGTTCAGGGGGCCGGGGATGTAGCTCAGCGGCACAAGCACCTGTCTGAAGCAAGTTCATTATCCTTCAGGTTGGCAGTCTTGGCTCTCACGGCAGCTAAGTAGATCTGTGAGCCTTTCCTCCGTGCTCAGTGCAGATTCTTATGGGGTCAGGCGTTGCTGTTAAGGTAGTTTAGGCAGCTGGTGTGATTCACATCTATAGAATTTCTTTTTTTGGGTCCCCCTCGAACTCACGACCTCGAGCTTGCCAGGCAGGCGCTGTGCCGCTGAGCTAAATCCCCAGGCCCTTAGAATTTCTTACCACCTTCCTTAAAACACATCTCCCGTCTGTGTCCATGCAGACAGCTGCTGTGTGCGGTCAAGACACAGTGCCATGGCGGGGTCCACAGCGCACAGTCTCTCACCAACGCCCTTGTGGTGTGGTGTTGGGTCAAGTAAGGGAGGTGGCAAAGTGGCATCAGACAAGCTGTCCCTTCCCCAGAGCAGCCCCCTAGCCCAGTGTCCTGGAGGAAGTGCTGCCCTGGCCCTAGGGGAGAAGCAGGTGCTGTGTGTAAGGGAGGAGGAGAGGGAATGCACTTCCCTGCCCTCCGGGGTCCTCTGCTCTGTACCCAGCGCGTGGGAAGTGGAAGGGACTTGAGGACCCGTGTTGGCTGCTTTCCAGAACCCTAAGAAGAGCGCACACGTTTCAGACACCATTGTATTGTGAGAAATGGCTCTTGTCCAGAAGTGGACAGTTTTTACTATAACGTCCTTAAATCCATTCGAGCCTTGGGAAGCTGGAGAGTCCCTGGTGGCAGCCGTCTGCCTCGGGGCTGGCCTTGAGCCTGCAGTCCTCTCACTGGCTGGATTGACAGGCAAGTGCCACCACACCTGGCTCGGGGCGTTTGATAGTGCGACATTCACACATCAGCAAGAGTGGGTGTGCAGAACACAGTCACATGGGGCTTAGCCACCAGCTGTGCCAGGGGCCGCCACAGACGTGCCAGTGTTGCAGCTGACACACTGATTGCTGCAGCATGGGTGTGGTGTTGGTCTAAGGTCACAGCGCTGTTTGTGTGGTGGCCGTCACTGGAGGCATGTTCTCCAGCCGATAGGGCAAGCCAGGCATGGTACATGCCTGTAATTCCAGCATGTAGGGAGGCTGAGGCAGGAAGATCACACATGTGAGCCCCATCTGGGCAACCTGGTGACACCCTGTCTCAAAATGATATTTTAATAAAGGGCTGAGGAGGTAGCTCCATGGTGGAGCCCCCTGGGTTCAACCCACAGTACCACAGAAAAGCAGCAAAGACTACAGGGCAGCCAGCCTCTGGGTTAGTGAGAAGGTCCTGACACTTTTGCATGTCACTTAGAGTATGAGGCCCAGGCTTCCAGCGTCCCTAACAGCTCGTGTAGAAGACTGGTCACTCATGGGCACAGAAGTCCAGAATTGCTTTGTACTGTCGCACCCATTCTTGGCCCACCAGGGGTCCTTGCGGTCCCCCAGCTGGGGCACACTCTGCAGCCTGTTCTTGGAGCGGTAGCTTCCCCCTGCTCTGACCATGCCCCACAGTCAGAAGTGCGTTGGACGCCATGTCCCAGTCTGACTAGAAGGGATTTTCATAAGGTGGTGTTCTGTGCAGAAAACAGCTCGTGTGATCCTATGAAACTGACACTGCGATCCACTAAGTAGGTTCCAATTGGAAAACCTGTTGTCTTAGTTACTTTTCTCTCGTTGCTGCAACAAAATACCCAGCGCCCAAAATTAAAGGAAAGGTTTATTTAGCTCACAGTTTGTGGAGGTTTCAGTCCGTATTTGGCGGGCTCTGAGGCAGAGTGGCACAGGGCTGAGGGCAATAGTTCATGGAGGCAGAAAACGGCAAAAGCAACGAGCAAAAGAGGAGCGGCAGCAAGCGGCCTGTTCCCCTCCCTTACACTGTGTGCAAACTGTCTGCTCCAGGGCGGGTGTAGCGCTCACACCCACAATTCCAGCATTGCACCATGAATCAATCATAAACTCTAGAAGCCCGCCCATGGCTGCATGAGGATTTGGGGGACATCCTGGCACAAACCATAACACCTGGGAAGGTCCAGACGGGCCAGGTTAGGGCAGATGCTCTGGGCCCACAGTACCCAAAAGGCGCAGTGCTTTGTTCCCTGTGTCCCATGCTGCTGACGGGGCTCTGTGGGCACTCCAGGACACAACTCGGACGGGAAGTTCATCGCCCGGGCACAGCGGATAGAGTATGACTGCGAGCTGGTGCCCCGGCGAGTGGCCATCTTCATCGAGAAGACAAAAGATGGGCAGATCCTGCCCGTCCCGAATGTGGTGGTACGAGACGTGGCCTGTGGCG